CAATCATCCAAGTTCTCATTCTCATAGGACCACAATGCATAGAGAAAGAAGAGCGCAAATAATTACCCCAAAAACCGAGAAGGTAGTAACGCCATCTCCCATAACCCGTTGACACTCTGTTTTAACAAGAGTAAAATCCTCTCCTTTCTTGCTCTGATTCGCCTGTCCATGTATAAGTTCCGGATTGTCTATCTTTTCATTAGCTGATTCACGCTTAAGCAACACAGAAAGCGGAACTGTATGATGTTCTCCCTTAGTTGACATTGTTTTCCCCTAAGCTTATAAAAAAAAAATCCGAATCCGAGACTAAAAGCTTCCTCTAAGCTGTGTCTAGTTCTTCACCAAATCTCCCAATCATACAAAAAACCTGATACACAATACAAAAAAAAACATTCAAGAATCAGAAACCTCTAAATTTCTGAAGAATCTAGAACTTGATTTCCAAGTTAGTCAAATTCAATGTATAGGTCCAATATAGACTCCTACAATTGCAGTAACATTCCGATCTACATTACGGAATCAAACTCAAAAACGATCTAGCCGAAGAAAACATCAAACTAGATCTTCAAACCAAAAATTCAAATTCGACGACCATTATAAATTCAGAATCACAATGCGTCTTCAAAACTCTCCTTCACGGACAAATCCAGCGTAAAAAAAAAAAAAAAACGAGAATGAGCACAAAAAATCAAACGCAATCAAATGATCTGGAAATGTGAAACGCAGATTATTCATCGAAACAAGCGAAAAAACTCCGAGAATCTAAGAATCTCGATAACGAATCGAATATGATCACATCGTGGGAAGAAACGATAACAATGGTGGATTAAGAGGGGGAAGCATTACGATTTGGATTTGCAATTAGGCGGCGATTGAAGAAGATGGAAGATTACGCGAAGAGAGACGAAGGAGATGATTCATCTTCCGATCGAAATTCCGGCGAAGTGGAGAAATGCCATGGTTTCAACAGCCGTAGGAGAGAGAGAGAGAGAAGAGTCAGATTAGAGAAAACGCGCAAAGAGAGGAAGGTGAGGTCTCTTTCTTCTCTGTCTCTTTTTTATTTGTTTCTTTTTTATTAATTAATTATATAATAAAAAAACAATTCTTCCGCCGTTCTCGCAGCAATAAGCACCGTTATGTGTTTTTATTCGGCGCTGATTGAAACGCTGTCGTTTTCAGTTCTCACGTGGTCGACCGGGCTTTAACATCCCCCAAATCTCGGATTATTAACACCAAAATTCAACCCCATATACGTCGACAATTTTTTTTTTTTTGCCGTCTAATAAACTTTATTGAAATCAAAAGGATAGTTCAAAAAACCAAAGACAACAGAGCATGTAAACACAAACCAAAACAGAGCCTCACAAAAACAGAGTATTATAATTATGAAAGTATTATAATTATGAAAGATGCTCTAATAAAACTTCATCTTCTCTTTTCCTCTTCGATACGAGAATGGAGCCACATCGGTCCACCTCGAGCTAAATATGATCGTGTGCGACCCTCCCTTGTGACACTCACGGCAATATCTCTTGCGACCGAATTCGCTTTGGTAGATGAAACTTTAAACACTATTTGACGAAAGGAGGAGATTAACCTGTGTACCTTGTCGAGGTAAGAATGATACCTTGGCCAGTTGGATGGATCAATAATGGCTTCAATAGCAGCACTGCAGTCTGACCAAATTTCAATGTTATCCAAATGTAAATCTAAGAGGCTCCTTAAAACCCAAAGCATCCCTCGTAATTCCGCTGAAATACGATTTGAAGCAGGAAGAAACATTTCTCTCGCATGAAAAACTGCATCTCCCTGATGATTTCTAACTATTACTATAAAAATTAGTCTTGAATCAATAGAAGCAAAGGTTTGGCAAATGGAGCTTACTGATGAAATCACGGCAAGCATGCATGTCGGGATCATTTTCAAACTCAAAGATATGACGCCTTCCCTGTAATCAAAGTCGAGGAAACTTCAATGATACACGGATTATAGCTTCAAAATTCACATAACAAGACTTTTGTTAAGCCTTAAGCACAAAGGGGCCAAGAAAAAAACCCTTCTTTGGTATATTTCTGACCTGATAAATTTAACATGCACAATGGGAAATTACAGGCAACACATCGTCTACTATCCAATAATCATTCTGAGAAAATTAGTCGTGATGAAACTGATTAACAAATATGACCAATTTGAAAAATCAAACCCTTTTACTTTTGATGTTGTGAGTCTGAACCATAAGCTTCAAATCTGATACCAAAGAGTTCAAAGTATTCTTACTATTTTGAGGGATCCAAGAGTTGTTGGATCTTTCACAGACCTCTTGTATTTGACTTGCTTCTCCATTGATATATGCCCAAGGTTCCAAAAGCGCGTTAAAATTGGTCGATCAATTAAGCTCGTGAGTCACTTTGACTGTGTCAGCAAGAAGACAGAACCAGAACCATGTATCCCTGGTTCTTTCGTAAAGAAGCTTCCCCAATTAACTCCAAAGAAGAATACACTGTTTGTTCTTCCCCAAATCAGTTACAAAAACTGTAACCTAATATTCGATCTTAACCCATAGTAAAGGAAAGAGTCAAAAGTTCTGTTCAAAGAAAGAACAGAAGGAAAGAGTTTAAAGAAAGAGTAATTCAAAGTAGGGTTGTTAGAGGGGTTAGAGGTGTGGCTGATGTCAGATCAATCATGTAAGAACATCGACATTGCAACTTCTCAGGTTTCTTGGGCAATGGGAGAAGATGATAGCATAGTTCACATCTGATGGAGGGAGCTTCGGGCTTCGGCTATCTGACTTTTGGTCTGTTTCCTAGATATTTGCGCAAGTACTTCTCTCGTATGTGCAACTTCTCTTCTTCCCTGAGTGGACCCCTTCCCGACGCTAGATCTCCCCACTCCCAAATAATTTTTGACGTAATCTTTAACATTAGATTAGAGCTTCATATAATCTGGGCAAGCATAACGTTGTGGCCTCGTGTTCTTAACTGGTCAACTATGTCTTGATAGTCACCGTCTCCTGCCACTAGTAAAATGTTGGCTGGATCTGGATTATCCAAAGCCCATATAGCCATCCTTAAGACAAGTTTGGTGTTTGTAGCATTCAATTTATCTGAAACACAAAAACATATTGATTAATTTTCTTTCAAGATAAATATTTTTTCAAAACTTAATAAATTTACCTGAGAAAACTTGAGTTTTGGCGAGGACATAGCGATTTTCCACTTCCACCTTTAAAATTAAAAATGCAAGTTTATAAATTTAAAAACTAATTCTCTTTTATTTTCTCAATGTTTTATTAGAAATCCTTATATATATTTATTATAAGCTTAATAAATATTAATATTACAAGTTTATATATATATATATATTTATTAAGCTAAGTATCGAAATATTATTACAAAATAATTAGGTATATAAAATATTAATATTTCTGGATTGAAACCAAATATATACCTAATTAAAATATAAATACTTCTGTGAAGAAGTTGTAAGAAATTTTCTACGTCTTTATTAGGGGACTAGAGGCCTACCTGGACATTTTCTGGTGTTGGACCGCCAATTATACCATCAAATAATTGCCGTGTTTGATAAGCCCGATACGGAAAGGTGGCTGAAAAGTAAACAACCAAAATACTTAGCTTGATAAAAGTTAACAGAAAATTACTTTTTCAAAATCATTCTTTTATAAATGGCGAGTATTACTAATAAAACATTGAGAAGATAAAATTTAATTAGTTTTCAGATTTTCAAATTTCTGTATTTTTTAAATCTCTGTTTTTAATTTTAAAGGCGGAAAAGGAAGATCCCTATGTGTGTACCAAAAAAATGTCGTGTTTTTGGATACCAACAATTGCGATATCCCAAAACTTGTCCGTCCAAAAGTTGCATTGAATTTTTGTAAAGTTCTTGCCGCTACAATTTTTTTGGCAAGCTAATTACGGACAATGTTAAACAACAACTTCAATCTTCTGCGATCAGAGTATCTCTGATCTATTCAGATAAAATCAATTGAGTAAATTAATGTTTTTTTTTACTATATTTGTCTTGAAAAAAGTTTAAGCAATATATGTGGGCATATGTTTCTCATAAACCTAATCTAAGCGATATGAAAATTGACACAAGGATGGGTATATGGACGTTGGATAATACCGCTGTCGTTTTTGTGACAAGTGCGTACGATTTTATCTTACCAAATAATCATGATTTTAATTCATATCACTTTGTAGATCATCTTATTTTAGATCCGAAGTTAAGATGTTTATTTTAGTACAACAAAAAGAAAGATTAAGATCAAATAGTGAATTTATTTTTTGAATTGGTCTAATACATTTCATCAATGTTCTTAAATCCGACTGAGACAACAAATTAAAGTAATGTCTGAATCATCGGAACAACCCAATTCAACCGTAAATTAATTAGACTTAAAATTTTAAATATATTTATTGAAATTGTATATATAGTTTTATAAAAAGAAATATACCATATTTGACAAAACATATGAAATTCTGATTGAAAAAAAATTAACCTAGGGTAATCCTCCGTGCGAAGGACCACAATGGATCATATGGATTAATCCAATGTAAACGTTCCACGTGTACAGTGATTTCGTTTTGCCGCTTCCCGTTCTTAACCGCCAGTTGAAATTTAATTTCTTGTCTGAATTGGTTTGCTCAAACCGACAACTTGAACCAAATTAAGATACGACAACGTTTTAATTTCTTTTAACAGTCTTCATTGGAGTCGTTGAAGTGTCGTACTTTCTTGTGTACTCGTACTCTGTCAACTTTAGGTATTTTCTTCATTGAGGCTTGAACTTAAATATGACAAAGATGATGTTTTTACCAGGCACCATTATGTTCCAATCGAACTACAATTAAGGGTTTTAGCTCTTTGCCAACAATCAAAACAAATACAAGGCCATTGTTGGATTCTCACATATCTAACCTTTTTTGTTAGATCACTTGGTCTCTATCTCTCACACATATTTGGTTTCTTTGTTCTAGAGAGATAACAAGAACCGTTTTTCCCCAAAGACTACATTGTTAATCTTTTGGATGATTGTCTCTTACAACCACATAATCTATTTATACTACTCTTAGTTGTTTCAACTTTAACCTAATACTCTTCTTAATAAACAAAACCCATTAACACATATGGGCCCTAATTACTTTATGGCCCAATGGCCACTTTCTTCTTTCCTCATCTTCCTCCTCCTACGACAAAACACTTCTTCTTCTCTTCACTTTATGCTTATTCTCCTTTCTTCATCATCTTCATCTTCTCACACTTCTCTTTGTCTTTTCTCTTATGTAGGATTAAGTAATGAATCAACTTCCAACATGACTTAAACTATAGTACATCACAGAATCTAATGAGGCGTACTTGTATTTTTCTTTTTCTTGCCGAATGCTTGACTTTTGCTTTCTGATTCATCATCATCCTCACTGTCATCACTGGCGTTCTTACTAGAACCAGCGGATTCTGCAACCGATCTTGCATTATTTCTTTTCCCTGCAGCAAACTTGGCTTCTAGTTTCTGATCGAGAGGGTCGTCTGAGGGTCTACGCTTTGTTTGTCGTGACACTTTAGCACCAAGTCCAAGCCTACGCAGGGGTTACCACAATACTTATATTCAGCTTCAGTTTCTCAAATGAAATGTAATTTAACATGTAAAAAGATATTTGCGTTCACCTGTGTGGTCGTTCTTCTTGTGCAGTCTCGATAGGATCATCATCTGCGGACCTCGTCATATTGGCAACCCACTTCTCAGCCTGCAAAACGCACAAACTCAAAGCGGTGAGATGAAACCAAATTATATGGACGCAAGTAAGCAATTTACAAATATATTTCATTGATCAAATGAAAGATCTAAATTATTAGCTTTGATTCAGGGACTTTGTGCTTCAAGAAGGAAAAAATCTTACAAGTTTTTGTGTCTTATCTGTTTTAAGAATCAGTGGAGTTCCCTTCTTCTTTGCCGTTTCCGTTGTCATTGCTACTAGAGTACCACCACCACTTCCTACAGTCCAATAAGTGATATGCTTACATTACTCAGTAAGACAAGTTCACAAGCGAGTTTTTCGGTAAACTGGTTAAATCGAAGTCACATTGGCCAATCACTAGTTGATTGCAATATAGTTTCGAAGACAAAAGCAATGTTATTCCTCTTTTACCAAACTTTTCGAATTGGTCACTAAACTTAATCCCTAATGAGAGAATAGCAACAAGCGATGATTTTTATGGTTTAAAATCCACTAAACCTCTCCCCACAGAAACTATGTGACACAATTTCATCACAAATGGAATCATTAGATTCACAAAGACAAATCAACAAACACCTTCCGTGCATATCCTAAGTAAACCAAACTTTAAGCTAGAGAGCCGCGAGTAAAGTCATTCACGAACAAGAACACACAGATCTTTGTGTGGATTAATGAAAAATTACCAGTTCAAAAAAGAAAATTTGCGCCTCCGCCAAACGTACTTCTTCTCCACAGATGCCGACGATTATTAGCTCGCGATTTATCTGAGCTAATATTCGGAGTCGTCCAACAAGTTTTTTGATAACCAAATTAAACCGATGTTCGATTTCAGTTTCTTCGGCATAATTTTGGTTCGGTTCGGTTCGGTTTGGTTAACTGAAATGGGCACGACAGTTTACTCGTAAGCCTGCGACTATGAGCTGAACGGTTAATTCGGTTTCGGTTTCTCGGTTTATTCGGAATTTAAAACCTATTCCGAATAGAATGGACTAATAATTCGGTCCGGTTCGGTTCAATATTAAAAGGCGAAAACTTCTCTTCTTCTTTAATAATGAAACACGATCACGACAATAATCAAACAAACCTAAAACCCCAGAAAAATTCATATCACTAATGATTACACAACAACAACTGAAACCAAAATTAGCCACAAACGATACACAATTCAAGGAAAATAAACAAACTCTAAGAGATATTCAGAACAAAATTTGGTGTCGATGAGTTCAATATTCTTCTGCGAGCATATGGATCGTCGAGATTTTGATATCACGGTGCAGATACTCACTACATTGATCCATGGGTCTGGTGTAGCTCGGAACAAGATCAAAACACGCCAATTGTTCGATGAAATTCCCAAGGGAGGTTTAACACCTGATTGCGGAGCTTATAATGCTTTGATGTGAGTGGTGCAATCAAGGTGATGAAAGAGATGGAAGAGAAAGGAATTGAGCCTGACAGTGTAACTTTCCACTCGATGTTTATCGGAATGATGAAATCGAAAGAGTTTGGATTCAACGGGGTATGTGAGTATTACCACAAAATGAAGGAAAGATGTCTGGTTCCAAAAACACCAACGGTAGTGATGCTGATGAAGCTGTTCTGTCAGAACGGTGAAGTCAACTTGGGATTAGACCTTTGGAAGTATATGTTGGAGAGAGGGTATTGCCCTCATGGCCAAGCATTGGAACTACTTACCACTGCACTGTGTGCTCGAAGAAGAGGCAATGATGCATTTGAGTGCTCGAGGCAAACAGTGGAGAGAGGAAGGTGCGTTAGCGAACCAGTCTATCGGATGTTAGAGACCTCATTATCAAGTAACAACGAGTTGAAGAAACTAGAAGAACTCAAGGGAAAGATACAAAAACTTCATAGCTTTTTGCCACCTCCTGGAACACAGCTAATCTAGAAAAGAGCTTCACTGTAATCAGTTCTTGTTTGCAGACCAACCAAATTGAGAGACTAGTATGTTGATTCATAAATTTTTTGTCACCCAATTTTGAGATTTGTAATTGGGGATTGTTGTTTATGAACCAGGAAGACAGTATTGTGTGTGAATCAGACAAGCTTGTGATTTTACATGAACAACAGAAACAAAGGACCAAGTTTTTTGAGCCAAGAGCAAAGTAGACAGAGTTAGACATTATATGGCTACAGATTTACAGCTAATAACATCTATATCATCATCCCAAGTCTTTGGTATAGAAGAACACACCATTACTCCGTTCATTGTCGTCTTCCTCACATTCTCAACATCAATCACCACAGTAGAGCAATCCTTACCAATCACAAAGATACTATTTCCAATAGAAACAAGCCGACAAGGCTGCTTCATCACCAATTGAGATAGCTTCCCGATACGAATCCACATTCTTGTTTCCTTGCACCACATTGTTAGCGTAGCTCCAAAAGTTTGATCCAAAACATAGAGCTCATCTGCCACAACAACTGCTGGACCTCGCCATCCTGATGCCATATCATCATCCATATGTTCCCAAATCCCGCTAGATGCACTATAGACTGCACTGGAAGATCCACCACCACCACGCCGAATATAAATCCTTCCGTCCATAACAAATGAATCTTCTATTTCAGGGACATCAGAACAAGATTTGCAGGTTCTGGTCAAAGGATCATAGATGTCCCAAGTTCGTTTAGCGTTTGGATTCAATCCTAGCCCACCAATTGCTATAATTTTTCCATCCAGCGTTTCACAAGCAAAGTAGCATCTGCATATGCAATCGGAGGAAATTAAGGCTGGAAAGAACAATATCAAGTTGGTTGCTAATGGCAAGATTAAGAATCCTAAGAGAAGTATAATTACCAATAATCCCAAAACTTAAACATTTCCTTTGGCGGGTTCTATCACAAGCTTTGCCTACTATGACCCGATTAAATACTAGAGGTATGCATTTAGACCCCCGTTGTCCACAGTGTGGTAGGGCAGACGAATCAATCAACCATTGTCTCTTTACATGTCCTTTTGCCATTTTAACATGGCGGCTATCAAACATTCCACTAGTACCTTCACACCTCTCGTCGGCTAACGTTGAAGATAATCTTTCTAATATTTTACAACTACAACAAGGCATTGGTATCTCAGAGGAGAATAAGGTACTACCTTTCTGGCTACTATGGCAAATCTGGCGAGCTCGGAATAATCTGGTATTTAATAAAGTAAGATGCAGTCCAACAACGGTTACTCTGCGAGCAAAGGCTGATGTAAAGGAATGGTTTCAAGTGAATAAAAATGAACTTCCCTTTACCAAGTTTCCTAACCAAATGACATCTTCATCGTCATCATGGATGAAACCTCCTTCTGACTTTGTTAAGTGCAACTTTGATGCCAAATTTGATGCACATACTAACTACACGAATGGTGGATGGATTATTCGGAACTATGAAGGGACAGCAATGGTTTGGGGTTCATCACGTCTGAATACTACGGGTTCACCTTTGGGAGCCGAAGCACAAGCGTTACTTTCTTCGATGCAACAAACATGGATCCGAGGATTCACCAAAGTATACTTTGAAGGTGATTGCAAGGTTCTGATTGATAACATCAACACTGGTCTATCGGATGTTTCTCTTAGTGGACTCTATGAAGATATCAAGTTCTGGACGGCTAAGTTTAAGGATTCTATTTTTGTTCATGTAAACCGATCTTGTAATCAAGTAGCTCATTGTCTTGCCCAATATGGGTCTAATAATTCTAGTTTTTATTCTGCAAGTTCTAATCCTCCTTTTTGGATGATAAACAAGTTGTATAACGATATTTCAAATTAATATAAATTATTTTGACGGAAAAAAAAAAAAAAAAGGTACCTTTTAGTTGAAAGAGAAGGTACTACGTCAAACCAAGTGTTTATAGCAGCATCATAGCAATAAACCTCATCAGTAGCATCTTCTAACCAACCACATCCACCCAACACAAACAGTCTCTTACCCAATGCTGCAAAACCCATGCCTTCTCTCATTGGGATATTCATGGATTCTTTTCCATGATCTTCTGGACGAGAACGGATTCAGCATGTGTAAGAAGACACCGCCAGATATGTCGCGGCAGAATGCATAAATCCAAGATTCAGCCAAGTTAAACTTGTTTCGATAATCGCAAAATTCATCACCGCACACGAAATCTCTCCATCTCCTTGAAACACATTTCATTGCCATGTGATATTCTCTTGGAACTCTAGCCAAGCAGGATTTCGAGATATCATCAGGAACTCCGCTTATAAGCGCAATTTGTGTCTCGTTTGATTCATCTGCACGTTCTGTCTCCTCTACTATACACGCCATTGTGAAATGATTCTAGAAAACTCTGTTCATGGCCAAAAAAGAAACAAACACTGGCTCAGATATGGCTAATCCCTAAACTAACTTAAAGTAGCAATTTACATAAGTGATCTTTGTGATCAAGAGCAGTATACTCAAGATCTTTGAAGATAAATAAGAGCATTGCCATAACAACAAATCAAACAGTCGAAGAAGAAGAAACAGATCGAATTCAAAAAACGCAAACCAATTATTTAGCTCTCACAGTCCAGAGATCAAACCCGTCAGAAATCCGTTTGTGAGCTTCCCGGCGAAGGAAGAAGAAGAAGAGAAGATCACTTTCTTCTAAGAACCACAACGACATCATTTCACTTGTATAAGAACAAAGGCAACCGATTTCGAACCGGAGATCCATCCAGCTTCCAGTTCTAGCCATGTCTTTTCTTACTATCTGATCTAAAGTGTGAGGGGAAGATGTAGAAAAGGTTAATAAGTGTGAGGGAACTGAACAGGTTGCCAACTTCTCCCAGAGTGGTTCAACATTTCCTGGAACAAGATAAACCATGAAATATAAAATTTCATTCAAGAAAAACAGAGAATGTGTTCACTTATCACATACACAAGCTGTCTAACCTTTTCTACATCTTCATCAACATTTTCAACTTCTCGGGAAACGGAAGAGCTACAAGTTTCAGATAATGGATCTATCTCACTCTCCTCTTCCTTGTCTATATTCTCAGTTTCATTCCCATAGTCTAAAACCATTTAGTAACATGTTGTCAGAACATTATTAAGATCTGTTTGGGATAGAAAGAATCATATCAAAAAGAGAAGAAGAAACAAATCACCTCTAGGAACAGAGACATCAATGGTAGACAATGTATCATCTTCTTTATCCGAATCTTCATCAATCAGATCATTTGTAGCTGAACTGGTTTCTGGTGTTTGCAGAATCTCTGGTTTCTCAGTTGTCTGACTTAGAGTACTAACCAAATTATGTGCCGGGATCAATCTAGGACTGTCTGCTGGTGAACAGAACTCATGGAGATAAAGAATCTTCCCCAGGATTCTTGGCACTTCCTTGTCTGGTAAATTCACATCTATATCTCCTTTTGCAAGCATTTCAGACAAGTGCTTCTTGGCTGCAATATATAAGCCAGACATAATCTTCTTTGAATCTTCGCTTGAGTAGATAGTCTCTTCTTTACCATCCTCAGACGTTCTTTCGTTACAGAACGGTTCTTCTTTATCCGAAACATCATGCTTCTCCTCTGATTTGCTCTGTATCTCTTCTTGCATATAACAGTTTTGGCTCCTCTTATTAACAGAAACATCACATGACTTCTTTCCAACAGCAGATTGGAGTCTTCTCTTGACTAAACCGATAAGAAAGCGAGAAAATGTTTTCCCGGTTTACGACTTGTTGCTAGTAGAATGCACTCCAGATGAAGAATCAACATCCAAAGTATTTGAACCAGGTTTCAAAACCACAATTGTTTTCGCAACTTGAGA